AGTAAATAACCCGCTCGAAGTGAAGTGAGCCGAACGCTGTTCGGCTATTCACTTCAGGCTTGTACAGCTGATTTCAGCCCAACATCGGCTTGCTTCGGTTCAGCCGAACATGCTCAGCATGTTCGACAGAGAAAAAGTGAAGGAGTTCCACTTAGCTGATCCAACATCTGGATTGGCTGAGCTGAACCTCCGGCAGGCTACTCGCTGCTGTTCGGCCCCTTTTGAGAATAGGCCGAACGGCAGTGAGTGAATAGCTGAATGCCGCCGAGCGGCATTCTGCTCGGTGCCTCCGTGGTACTGAGCAGAATAGAAAAGCAATGAAAAAAAGTTGACATTTTCTTTTACAAATGCAAATAAAAATGATTTTAAAACATATTTTAAAAATAAAAAATTTGGAAAAAAAAAAGAAACAAACAATTGGGTGGACCGAGCAGTGACAGCTAGCTCCGCCCAACTGTTTCCTATTGTCCGGGACCTGCTAGAGTGAATAGCTCGTACAGCAGCCCTTCGGTTCAGTAGTACTACTGAACTGAAGGGCTCCGGCAGCCGAAGCTAGCTGAAGGATCAGCTGGGGCTACGGCTGACCCTTCCGCTAGCTTTGTGAATAACCCTCTAAAAGTTTTAGTTTCCTGCAGAATCAGCTGGTCCCCTTGCACTGGTCCTGATATCCTGTTTTAGGGTCGCTCCTTTCCCTTGCAGGGACCTATGGAGCCACCCTTGAGTGTGCTAGCAAGCTGGGTGTGTCACCACAAACACAGGCAGACCAAGGCAAGCCTTTCCCCTGCACCCCAATATCTTTTTAAACACTCCCCTTCCCAAAGGAAGTATCCTCATGAACCATGCAAAAAACAAACAGAAGGACAGCGCCCTTTCCTTGTGTGATAACATTCATTCAATGCAATAAGTGTACAGATTAAAAAACTACTCACAGCCGTATAAAGAACCATACATGCAGGGCAAAGTCTCCTTCCCAAGAGCTTCTCCTCCTCCAGTTGTGTGCTCATGTGAGGACATATATAGATAATTCAGCCCAACAGCATTCTATACCCAGCCCAGTGGGATGATGCCCCCCCTCCAGGTGGAAGATCCATAACAGCCTGGGCTCAGAGGAAGTGGCTTGGATAATGTTGGCTGTCATTCAATGCTTGAAGGAGCAACAGCTACTGGAGTAGTAGACCTTCTGTAGGGGACGGCATCATCCTGGAGCCGAGTATTGCAGCTCAAGATGCTTTTTTTTCATCTTCCACGTGCTCAGCTTTGTATTTTCAACAATTTTTGTACTTTAACATGCAGCTCCAATTTCCTTCTTAAACTCATGTAATTGCCTTTCTACTTTTAGAAAGCCGACTACTGCCAATCAGCGGACATCTCAACTGTGGAATTCACCGTTCCTTTTCAGTTCCAATCAACCTCCTGATGCCAGATTGCTTAGTCCTAAAATCCCATACAGCAAGCTAGGCAGCTTGTGCACCTTAAGACGCAAGGTGACCCACACAAAGTACATAGAGAGAGAGGAAGAACAAAGCTTTAGCTCACAATTAGCATTAACTGACCATAGCAACAGACACCAAGAAAACCTCCCCACAGGCAACACTGGCCCTTGTGGTGTGTTACATAAACAAGAACATAAATCCCCAATGGGCTGCCTTAAAGCAACATATGGTAAAGTGCTTTCAGTAAAGCTGGCCATACACCTATAGATTATCTGCAGATTTCCTATGGTCAGATGGAAAACGTGCAACAGACTCCTCCATCTACGCTAAACTGTGTGCATGGAGGAATCTCCCACTAGGCCAAGCTTCAGTAACTTGCCAACATACCTGAACAATGCCTGCATCCAATCAGATTGCTCAGGTATTTAAGAGCCATGCGGCTAGCAAGATACTGAAGCTTGGCCCAGTAGGAGATTCCTCCATAAGCACAGTGTAGCGTAGATGGAGAAATCTGTTGCACTTTTCCCATGTGACCACAGAAAATCTGCAGACAAATCTATAGGTGTATGGCCAGCTTTAGGCAAACATAGAGGACACCTGAATGAGTCCTCAAAGCAGCTTGGGATACAACAGAGGCAACTTTTCAACATTTTAAGAGAACAAAAATTATATATATAATGTTCATCATGTTCAATACCCTTCCCCGGAACACGAAGTCCATCTACAGCCTCCAGTTCTTCCCTATCAGGGTGATAAACAAGCACTTTAAAAAAATGACAATGTTGCTCAGGAATTCAGGGCTACCAATGGCATTCTTTCCTTCAGCTTGTGGGGTGAACAAACGAAATGAACAAATTCCTCAGTCCATGCTAAACAATGCAGATTGAGGACTCCTCCCTGCCGGGCTATTGCATTCTGACAGAAATCGCTAGTGGCTGTCAGAATACACGAACAGTGACTGCAGCTGACAAATGCCAACTGAGTAATCAACTTCTGTCGAGCAGGCATGGCCACATGCAGTCACTGTTTTTGTGAACCAGACAATATTCTAACTGTGTACGGCCAGCTTAAACCTATATTTTACCTATAACGGGGAAAGTAACATGACAAAAATATCTTCACTCTCCACTATAGATTAGCACATTGATGAATCCACAGGGAAAGGTACCGATGTCCCTGTGTGTGTTGTAAAGTAGTCACCGCTCCAAGCTCACCCCGTGATGGACTGCTATCTCAACACAAATTAGTACACTAAACATGAGATTGTAGTCCATCATGGGAGTGATCTTGGAGCGGTGACTACTTTACAACACACACAGGGATCATGGGGAACAGAAGTAGTCACTCTCCAGAAGGAAGGACAGTGTATGCATCAATTCAGAGATGATTTGAGGATCTATAGCCGAGTTATACACAAATAGGATACATTTTTGTTAATAGTTAAGGTACTTGAATGTATTTTTAAGATTTACCTCCAGAGTTCAGTGTCACTTTAAAAGAGGGTAATGGCTGCTTTGCACGGTTTGGTTTCTGAATGTATGAACTATTTTCAAGTGCATTGTTCAGGGAAGACAATTGGTAAAAATGTCATGTGATGTTGTTTCACATGCACGTAAGGCAGATTCCCGCTCCTGCAATACATTATTACATGAGGAAACGTCCTTTGTGTTAAGACAGTCCATTCATTTTGATAAGGCACAACAGCACAGCGTTGGAGTAGGAGTCACGGATCCTGAACAGGATCTGAAGTATGCTGGACAGGAAACCAGAGAAAAGACAAATGTCCTCAATGCTTGTTCCGAGTTAGGATAGTGAATAAAGAGGATAAGCATGACAGAAGCCAGCACTTATAGAAAGTTGTGGGGGTCAGTAATGGTAGCTTCCTTGTCTTTTAATACACAAGTGTGAACATAACTGGATGTGCAGGGACTACGCCCCTCTTGTCGCAGTATGCAAGTCGCTTGTAAGGAAGCATAGAATGCTATGGTTCCATTGCGTGAGGTGTGCCAGAAAGTCACTTTTACTTAAATAGTCTAGGAATGAAACAGGATAGAGTTTGTTTACACTTTATAAGCTAATTTCCCGGCAGATATTAAAGAAAAACTCCAGGCATGAAATTTGTCAACTGTGGCAGTGGGGCTACCCCTGTGCTGCAAGGGTTAGGTGCTCATTGTGGTCTAGGTGCAAAAGTAACAAAGCTATACTTACACTTGTGACAGCTCACTGCTAGACCGGTCTTTCCAGACTATCTCCCCATTCACTCCAGTGACCTAAGGCTCTGCTAGTCATCCCAACCTAAACATGTATAGGACACCAAGGGACATACCAACATTGGAGCGGATGGGGAGGGAGGCTGGAGAAAGTGTTTTAACAGCTGGCTGGTTTCCGAGGATCAGGCGCGTATAACTTTTTTTGCACCTAGACCAAAACGATACTTAACCCTTGCAGTGCGGGGGTAGCCCCATTGCAACAGTTGACAACTTCTATTGCCTTTAAAGACACACAAATGCAGCTCTCTAATCATTAAATTTATTTTTTAAATGCAAGCCGTGTAAGAATATGAATTTGACCTGGTATCAGGCTCTTGCAGTCCCTGTACAGCAGGGCTGGAGTGTGAGCGGAATAAGCAACAAATCAGTTTTTAGGCTGATAGGGGAAGATAGCAGAGAGATGAGCTAATTTCTGTGCGGCTTCTCCTTACACTGTCCATTCAAAGGCTGGGGCAGGTCCATAATGACCTGGGCTCTGAGTAACGGAGTGGACACCATAATGACGACATCTAGGGACAAAAAAAAAATAGGGGGGGGGAAAATCGCTGGATCGAAGGTGAATATTGTAACAAACGCTTTTTGGACAGAGTTCTGCTTCAAAGGCTGGCAATAAGTTATCAGAAGCACATCGGCTGCTGTGCGGAGCCCCGACACATTGCAGAAGCGATGAAAGCCTGCGCATCGCACTGTGTATTTTTTTGGTTAGAACTTTATTAAAATATCACAAGTGACATTTCATTCAGTTCTACAGGCACAGCGGGGTGCGGGATGGCTGTACCACATCACATTCCGTTTAGAAAAGGTACAGGATGCCGTACTTTTTTCAGCGCACGACACCGCGTTCCCATTGCAGCGCAGTGGTGTGAATCGACCCATCTGTGACAGGGGAAACTGCTTTGGAGCTGCGCTGGAAACAACGGCCAGTGCAGCTCCAACGCAGACAGCGAATGGGATAATAGAAAGCATCTGACCATGATTCAGGTGAAGGGGGTTCCTAAGATGACCTGACCTTCCTCATACTGGAAGTAATATTTGCCCATGCCAGAAATGCAGCATGGCTACCAAACTTTGAGCCACCATCTGTAATAATAGCCTATGGAGGGAAGAAGCATCATTATCAGGATCGGACAGCACTCAGTATACAAGGAATAATAACGATATTCTCTATGATAGTGACATACACTGTCCTATATGATATAAATGCTAGGGAAGATAAACCAATCCTGGAATATAGAGCGTCTTCTGAACACACTACGGAATGGAAATCCATTGTAACGTGTCAGCGGCTCCTACTCACCCGCCGATCCCCTCAGTCACAGAGCCGAGCACCGTCTCCAGCTCACCACAACGTCTGCAGGATCTATTACTTCCGTCTTCATTCACAGATGACAAGTAGTCACGTGTGCAGTTCTGACGTGTCAATGAGCTGTCCCGGCGGCCATATTTGATTCGGGCAGAATGCTTCTACGTCTGGGCATGCTGCAAAAGTCAGCATTTACCTTTTCTGTCAACACTGACATGGCATTTATCTGACTGTGAAGGAGGACTCGCCTGTTTACTTATTATGGTGGCAGATAGGTTTATTTCCTTGTTCTTTTGAATGAACACTGTAACTTTTCTGTGCTCTTTTTAAGAGACCTGTCCCTAAAGATGGCCATACACTTGGCATTCTTCAACAACAATTGCATTCTTTGTGCATTCAATAACGTGCTAAAAAGGAAAAGCTGTGAATGGGCCCTAAAAGGTAAAATGGGAACAACTGAAAAACAAAATTGTGACACTTTTTAAAGCGACCCTGATGAGTTCTAAAAAAATATAGCTGAATGTTCCTACAATAAAAGAATTATACTCTCCTCTTTGGCGGCCTCTGCTAGTCTCCAGTGTCCACTACCTTTGGTTCCGTCAATGTCTTCAGCATTCGCCATTTCTGGGAGACGTTTCCCAGCAGTAGTACCAGAGATCCAGGCACTGCCAGGAGGCATACTTGGCACTAAGTAGGTGCAATATTGTGTAAATATTGTAGAGTCGGAATTAGGCACAGTAGGCACAATATAGATGAAGAGGTGCCCTGTGGCGAGGGCGCCTCTTAAGCTAAAACCAAAGTGTGATCACTGGTAGTCATTCACGATAACAGGCCATGGGGACTAAAGCTAGCCCATGTTAGGAAAGACTTGGCTTAATTCCAATCTTCCCCAATTTATTGGCTCTCAATGTGGTTATTGAGGTAACGGTAGGTGAAGACCAGTCTACACCAGCACAGGCCGCGATGCTGCCGATTGGCTAATAGTGTGGTAACCTGTGACAGGTTGCTTCTCTGATGGCCCATCAGTGAAGGTGTCATGACAGAGAGGGGCTCAGGGGCCCCTGTGAGGTGATATGATGGGCCACCAGCACAAAGTGTGTGAAGGAGTCTGTTCATTTGTGTAGCAAAGAGAAGAGGAGGTTGTGAACCCTAACTCCATCCAAATTTATTGTTTCTTTTTTGATAGAGTGGGGAAGGGTCCATTTCTTTCAGCAATTTAATTCTGTCTGCAGTCCCACTTGGGAGATGTACCTTCACTTCCAGTCCCTGCAATGCCTATAGAAGTAAAAGGAGAGGGGAGGGGAGTAATCATCAACAGAATGCAAAGGCACAAACAGCAATTAAAAAAAAAACTTGACAGGGAGCCCTAATCCTTCCTCACTTCACATAAAGTGTAACAAAAGGCAAAACTTTTTTTTTTAGATTTGGATAGAGTAGTGAGGGGCTAGAACTGCTGTTGGGTATTTACTGTTGTCTGTTTCTCTGTTAAGAAGATCCATGCTCTCAAATAATCCTAATCACCAATGTCACAGGAAAGAGGGGGGATCTTCCAGTTACATGTCTTACATCTTACATGTTTCTGTGACTATTGTCTAAGAGGGAATAGCCTTCATATTAGAAATATATCCTCTCACTTCCTGTTGAGTCTACAGGACAGGAAGTGAAGGAAAATCTCCCTAATGAGATACAAATGGCAAAAAAAACTGACAGCGGTTTAAACCCTCCCCTATCTAAAATTAAGGAAAAATTGTCCTAAGAAATACTGTAAAATTTCATTTTCATGCACTTTGTATTCTGCCATCTTGTGGTCTTGCTTGATACTGAATTTTCAGCATGTTTTTTTTGTAAGGAACATGAAATGAATAGCAACATAATGGTTATCTTTTATTTTTAGAACTAAATGATACTTATCATTAACCATTTCCTTGCCAGCGTTGTAAAGAATACAGTGGAGCAAACATTTTTCCAGCAGACCAGGTCAGTATGCCTTACGTTGCTGGCTTTCAGCCTTCGCTATAAGCTCATGGTTGCTTGAGTGACCCTGAACTTATAACAAAAGAGTCCTCTTAACAGTCCTCAGCAAGTGAATAGCTGCCATCCGCAGCTGACAAGCGGCTAATGACAGCCATTCATTAAACATCTGGCGCTCCTCTCTGATGCCACTGCCACTCTGCAGCTCTCTCCTTCCTGCTGGAAGGGGGCGGCATGCTCCGGTCTGTGTCCCCTTGAATCCCCGTTGCTCTCCCCCGTTGCTCTCCCCCTCCAACGGGGAGGAGAGAGCAGCTGAGGATCAGTGACAGACGGGAGGACTCAAGATAGAGAGCGGGGCGGTGTCGGGTGGAGCTTCAGGATGTCAAGCAGAGGATCAGCAAATATGTGAAATATTTGCTGATCCTTCTGTGTACTGAGAAAACACCGGATTGATCAGTACTGCTCACTCCGGTGTTACCTTGTCCCCATTTCTAAATGAATAAGTGCCTCACATGACTTCCTGTTCATTTATGACTGGGGACATAGTAATCATTTAGTATCTCCTCAATTTCTGAATGGACATGAGCAGCTCAGTACAGAGGCTTTCTGTCCATTCATAACCGGGAGGATAGTAAATGTTTACTATCTCCTCAGTTTGTGAATGAATAGTTAGCCTATGTACTGAGTGCTTCCTGTTCAGTGAGTGCTGAGACTGAAGAAAAAAAGATTGAGGACACTTTTTCTATTTCAAAATGGGAAATATCAGATGTCTGTGTAGACCTCTGATATTTCCCCGAAGCCCCTGACAACAATGAAAATAAATAAAATAATTTGTTACCGTTTTTTACTTTTATAAAACAACATTAATTCAACTGTGTGGCAGTGCAGGGCAAAGCATTGTGACACATTGCTGTGCATTGTAATATGCTGTGTTGCGATGAATATTATGCCTGCATCATTTTAATGCAAAACACACCAACACAGTGCACAAACGTGCTGCAGATCAGGCATTATCACAACACAGATTTTTAGCATAAGTTTATGTTTCTTCGTTTATTTATCATTTCGCAAAAAGGTGCAATCTAAAATGTACAAATATTTGTTATTTATTAACTCAATATAGTGTTATTTTTTAGATTTAGTAGGAATATTGAAAATTATGTTTTTTGTGTGCACCGATAATGATTTTAGTGTATTTAAAGAAAATAAGAATTGATGTGATAAACATTTGCGCAACTGTCATGTCGTGGAACCTACAAAATTAGTAGCACCATCTTTTTATTCTACCAGTCCTGTACTTTCAGAAAATGTATGGTTTAGGGGATCTTTTACAATCTCTAAAAGCTGCAGTTGAAAATTAAACAATGGTAAAAACTTGGAAAAATGGTCTGGCCACTTGAGGTCAAAAGTGGACTCCAGGGCCTGGCAGCAAAAGGGTTAAAGCGTATCTAAACCCAAAAACAAAATGTGGTATATTACAGTTTACCAGTGCTCAGGCTGTATCTGTGAGGTAGTCATGGTTGTTGCTCAGGCTACTCTCCTAGTTTGGACTACAATAGTTCTTCCTCTATTCATCTCTATTACATAGGGGGGTATATTACACTTTTTGTTCTTGAAGTTCGAGATCCAATTCCAGGATCAGCCCCTGCCCTCCAATCACCCCTCCTCCTGGCAGAATTTTTTGCTGAATTTTTCTATACACATCTTGTTTATAGGTTTCCTGGCTGACACATGACACAAAGTCCTCCTTGGTTTTCTCCTAGCAGTCCCCCGATGACGAAGACGTTGACAACATCACATCAACAATACACTGTAGTGGTAACCATGATTGCTTACATTCATAGTATCCCTGCAGTCTTCAGGGTTAAATGATGCCCAGAGTCATAGCATCATTCAACCTGGAAGACTGAGGACATCTTGTGGCACAAATGAAGTACTACAGGGAACAACACTGGATTGAAGTGATATTAAAATCGAACGGTTTATTATCTATTTCTAATGCTGATGAAATCACTTACAATGGATGCTGCTCTCTAATGTTGAAAATGTTTAGTTTCCTGCAGCAGCTGGTGCCCTGAGCAGTGGATCTGATATATTGTTTTGGGGTGGCTCCTTTCCTTTGTAGGGTCCTATGGAGCCTCTGTTCGGTGTGCTAGTAAGCTGTGTGTGTCTCATTGTTCTGGTGGCATGACATTTCAATAAATGGACACTTGGTGATTTTGAAATGTTTCCAGTGTGCTGGTGACATCTATCTACAGTTCCTGGAAAACACAGGCACAAGAAGTCCCTCCTCTCCCCCTTCTCCAAGCTAGTAGATGGACAGCTGCTGGAGACTGCTGTGTCCCCTGTGATCTTGTACTGGACAGGAAGTTCAAAGAAGTCGTGATGAGAGAGTTGGAGCTGTTTGAAAACATGATGACTGTAAGTGCCTGGGCAAACAAATTAAAGAGGTCCTTTGCTGGGCAAGGTATATTTGATCTGGATTCGATTCATTATTGAAAAAAAGTTTGAGAGTTTAATACATATATAGGGATGCACCAATACCGTTACTAGTATCAGTATCGGTGCCGATACCGAGTATTTTGGCGAGTACTCGTACTCTTCCAAATGCTCCTATACTTACATCCAATACCTAGAACCTCCGGTCACAGGTAAATATCCCTGTGATTGGCTGTGCCGAGGGAGCATGGAGCCAGCATGATTGCTTGTAACCCATTCTCCACCCTTCTTCTGGGCGTCACTATGTCGCCCAGAAGAAGTGGCCCCCGAAATGTTGGCTGTTTGACGCATGTGACGATTTAATCAAAAGTGCTTTACTTCTTGCAGACATCATCGAGTGCTGGTGACTTCTATTATAGACTGTATCTGACACGGCGCCATCCGTGTTGTCACTTCAAGCACCAACCTCTCAACCAAGGTCTGTACGCTTTATGGAGTGCAGGTGATTTCGTATTACCGTTCTCCATCCTGACTCACCTGTCTCAGACGGCCAAGCGGACGGCAGGGCGGTGTGGGAGGAGAGTTTTATTTCTGTAAATAAAGAAATTGTGCAGTTACAGTAAATAAAACTGCAGGACATAAGGGTAATTACTGCAATAGAAGCAAAGTGCATCTGACATCACCTTTTGTAGCAAATGGTTCTACGTATAAAAATACCTGTGCAGGTAAAGTTTGTGTTGTTCAGTTTATATCATGTGATAAATGCTGTGTGATGTATGTTAAGAAAATGTGAATAACATAAGTGAAGGAATAAACTATACATGTGGTAAGAAAGGAAAAAGAAACCTTTCTTAATACCTTTCTTAATAGGAATGACTAATATACTCTATAGGAACCAAAGCTTAGTCTGTTGGTACCCGGGCGGCGCTATTTAATGTTACACCGCGCTAAAACAAAGGAGATCGCTGATTGGTGGAATAGACCGGGCTATGTAGCTGTGTGGAGATGGCGGCTAACCGACAAGTAGTACCGTGGATTAATAAGGCGGAATGGGAGCAGGTCTTGGAGTATCTGTACAGCCGGGATAGTAAGCTCCAGCAGGATGCACTGAATCACATCTCTGCCTGGAAGAGCAGGTCAGGCGTCCGTGTTGTGTCTTGTGTAAGGGGGATAACCTCTGTACAGTGTAATACTTTCATGGGGGGGAATACAGTGTTGGAATAACGACACAATGAGCTGCTATAGGGTCCAGAGCAGCTCATAGTTCCGCGTTCACAAGGCAAATGTGCCTCTCTTCTGCTGGGCAGCCCAGTGTTTGCCTCTTCGGCTCTGACATTAGAGCCAGCATTAGGGGGGGGGGGGCCGGGATCTTCTAAAATCACTACACTGCCACACCAATCAAGCTGGGGAAAGTTTACTTACAAATTTTTAACCCCCTTTTCCCCAGCTTTCATTGTTGTGGCAGTATTAAAGTAAAGCATTAGTCCCCATTGATACCCTCACATTCAGGAAATGCATGTCGCATTTGCATTTTTCCACGCTGTTGTCGTGCATCGCCCATTTATTTCATTGGGTGCCGAATTCTGCTACAGGCATATACAGTGGTTTTTTCACCACACGCTTGTTAGAGTTCCATTAACAAATAATGGCACTGCAAGTGCATTTTTAACTGTTTTGCATTGAGTGCGTTTGGTACATGTTCATTAAACGCAAAGGTGTGATCAGGGAATCATTCACACAGGGCATTCAGGGATTCCTGCGGTAGAAGCATATGGATTCCTGTGGCAGGAATGCCAGGTGTTCCCTTTAAATGCAGCCGCTGTGCACATTGCAAACAGTCTGCCCCTGGTTCAAGGTTAATTTTGCTATATTGCGGCTCCTCCGGTGTTCACAAGCATGCAAGGTAGGCGGGGGGAGGGAGTAAGGGTGGGAACAGCCTACCAATAGAGCAACCAACTAATCGATAATGAAAAACGTTCACAACAATTTTCATTATCGATTTTGTCAACTTTATCACTTAGTTGTTTCAACCCTATTTAAAACATCTTTATTGAAAAAACGGCTGCGGCGCTCTCAGTATATCGTGGACAATAGCTCGCTACATACTGAGCTTTGGGTCACAGGAGGAGGTTAGTATATGTGGGTCACGGGAGGAGGTTAGTATATGTCCTCCCGTGGCTCTAAAGATAACTATGAGAGAAAAACACCCCATAGTTCTCTTTTAGGCCCCGTTCCCACTGCGCGATATGCAAATCGCGCAATATCGCAAGATTTGCCGTGCGATATCGCGTTCAAGCTTGCATTGGGGGGGAATAACTATCACATAGGGGCTTTTAGCCCCCCCCCCCCATAACCCCTCCCCCGTGTGATAGGAAAAAAAAGTACAAAATAATAAAATATATAAAAATTATGATGAAGTAAAAAAAAAAATTAAACCTGCCCCCGCCATCTGGATGCAAAAAAAAAACATGCGTAGAACATTGTGTGCGCGCATTGAGTGCTGCCACCATTCCACCGTGTGCCATATTGTGGTAGCCAGGCAGCAGAGCTCTCTTACACATACAATGTGCATTAAAGGGTAAGTTCACTTTCCCAGGGAATATGGGAAAATCGAATTACCCGATCAAATCTGGCCCAACCACCCCCCTCGCCATTACTTACCTTTTGGCGAACAGTCCTTACCATACGCTAGTACAGGGGTACTATCTGTACCCCGTACCGCAGTCCAGCCCTATGCATTTTGAATTTCGCTTGCAGATTGCTATCACTCATTGGTCAGGTGACCAATGCGCTATTTAGCACAGTCCAATACGGTTTTGATTAGGTATGCACCGATACCGACTATTTGGGCGAGTACTTGTATGCTCCCAAATACTCAGATACCGGAACTTCTGCCCGGCATTGCTTTAGGGGAACATGGAGCCAGCTTCCCGTGCAATCAGGAAGCCGGGCAGCGGGTCAGCTTCCGCGGCCAATCGGCATCTAGCCGGCTTCCCGGCCAATTAGGTAATTACTCAGCGCCCGGCTTCCTGATTGGTTGGGAAGCCGGTGAGTACCGAAAGCAAAATATCGGTACTCTTACTCGATACCGAAAAACCGGTATTGGTACATCCCTAGTTTTGATTAAAACTATTTTTTTTTTGTATTGGAACAAGTAGATTGTCATGAGGGACAAGTAGAATGGGCCCCCGCTTTAGCCCTTGGACAGGGTTTTTTTTTTTTAAATTTCCACACCCCTGTAGTTTATTTAAAGGAGAACTATGGGGTCAGTGTTTTTCCCAATAGTTCTCCTTAGGGTAATGGGAGGACACAAACTAGCGTCCTCCCGTTACCCTAAGCTCAGTATACCGCGAGCTAAATCTCGCGGTATACTGAGACACCGCAGCCGGAGCGGATCCCGACGTTGATGACGGGATCCGCCCAGCTGCGTGAGTGACAGCTGGCTCTGCCTATCTAGAGGCAGAGCCAGCTGTACCCGCCCCGTCCGTTCCGCCAGTCAGCGCTGGCAGATCGGAGCGGGGAGAGGGGAATCCAGCCCCTCCCCCTGTCATGGCAGAGAGCCGTGACAGGATCGAGAGGTGAGGGAACCCGGTATGTGTTCCTTCACCTCCCGATCTACTGAGCTGACCTGTGACAGTCTCATTGTCACAGGTCTGCTTAGAACTATGAGGTGAGTGGAAATCACTCATCTCATAGTTCTCCTTTTTAAACACCAAAAAATGGTATCTAGCAAAGAACATAATGCTGACAAGAAAGGTTACATGCCATACAATGGTTACTGCGCAGATCTGTTTGTTTTACATCCATATGCTTGAGTCTTAGAAATGTCATGCATAGCAAAGCTTTAAATCTTTGTTTTCAGTTAGCTGTAAGCTTGTGACTTCGTATGTATGTATTTTCCTTGATCTGCTGATGCTGTGTTCCCTGTAAGAAGTGGAAGCATTATATATTTTGTTTTTAATACATAGATGTGGGAACAGTATGCCGCTTGCTGTGGAATGCACTGCTGACCTCGTTCGCTGCAAGATTCTAGATGTGACTGGAGGGATGGGTGAACAGGAGCTTGCCTTACTCTATGGGATGGCACTCGTCAGGTTGGTATATTTAGCAATACTTGAGTCTTCACATGCTTAGTTTAAAATATGAATCTAATGAGCCTTAAAGAATAACTCCAGAATTTTTATTTTATTTACCCTTCCCTGCACTGTAAGAGTTAGCTGCTCGTTTGTGTCTAGGTGCTAAAAAAAAAAGTTTTAATCGCCAGACCATTCGAGCTGACTCCTTCTGTGATCACTGAAGCATGTCTCCTCCACCACTGCACAGATGGACTGCTCCTTGGCGGAGTCCTCGCGTCTATGCACAATGTATAGAGCGTAATGACACCAAGGCCTTGGACCGCTGCAGCAGAGGAGAGACATTCA